TGAAAGACTTAGGTGAGGCTTCAGACTTAGGAAAGATCAAAATGACCAGATCAAAAACAAAGGACTTTGTCAATCATCTAGTTTGCTTTTGTTTAATTTTCTAAAGGAATTATATTTATTTATTTTTAGGTCTAGGGACCAAATCTCAGGTCTCTCACATGCTAAGCATGTACTTTATGATGACGATGTATCTGCAGTCCAAAGGATGTCATGTTAAAAAGCAATGAAGTTGGGCAACCACCTGTGTGGTAGCATATGGATTCTACCTGGATGGAAAAAGCCTATGAGTTTTAAATTTGTATGAAAAATCACTATCTAGTATAATTTAAAGGGAACCAGGCAGATGCTTAACAGTTTGCTTTGTTAGATTCAACAGAACTTACAAACTTGCCAAAAGAAAAGTTAATAAGTTTAAGAAGTTCTGTCACCATCCCTTGTACTGTCAAATACAAAGCTTGATAAAGTTTTATTGAATGGATTGATCTGTTTCGTCGCTGAATTACTACTACTCATCCAAGGAGACAAGGCTGGCTTAGGGATGGAAGGGGAGGAGTGACCTGGGGAGATGGCTGTGCCATCTTAAGCATGTTGGACAGGCACAGTGTGGGGCTCACCAGCGGAGATACACAAGAGACCCAGCAGGGCAAACCCAAGTTGGAGTCTACTGGGGTGATCTAAGACAAGCAAAACCCACAAACAGATGCGAAGGCTACGTGTGTAGGCAAGGGAACAGGATTGTAAAGTGAAAGTAAGTCAAGAGTTCAGAGCTATGCTGGAACCAAGCTATGGAGATAGGTTAAAAACAAGAAGGGCAGAAAGGCTCCCTGGTCAGTGTTTGAGCCCCAAGCCCTTGGTTTTATGAGCAATGGTTTGTACAGATACTCCTTGACTTCAGATGCAGTCACATCTCAATAAACCCATCTTAAGCTGAAAACCTCTTAAGTCAAAAAACGCATTTAACCTACTAACAATTCTAGGTCAGCTTAAAAAAAAAAATTAAAACCCAAAACCTGATGTACGGTTCTAACTGAAGGTGTATGGGTTCCACATGATTGTGAAAATCTTTTTTTTTTTTTTTTGGTTTGTTTTTGTTTTTGTTTTTGTTTTTGTTTTTGTTTTTTGAGACAGGGTTTCTCTGTGTAGCTTTGTGCCTTTCCTGGAACTCACGCTGTAGTCCAGGCTGGCCTCGAACTCACAAAGATCCGCCTGCCTCTGCCTCCCGGTACTGGGATTAAAGGCATGCGCCGCCACCACCGCCCGGCTAATGATTGTGAAAATCTAAAAACAGAGAATCAGTCATCCTAAAGTGACTGCTGTCTGTATTTTGGAGTTACAAGTATGGGTACAATTAGCTAGCTGAAAGCAATGATGAAGGACCGAGGTCAAGGTAGAATGGACAGAAGGTGGGAAGAAGTGGAGGGAGACAGTGTGGGGGAAGGGAGGAGACAGACACTGGAAAGTAAACAGGGAAAAGGAGACAAGGACATGGTCAGACAAGGAAGAGCTTCCCCAAGGGCTACAGAACCATCTTTGAAGTTCTTTGGCTTTGGCACAGACATGGCTTCAGTCTCACAAGACAGCTCAGAAATAAATGTGAAGGATGTTTCATTGTAACCACAAATCCGTAAGAGTGAGATTCAAAGAAAAAGGAAAATGAAAATGGTGTGTTTTGTTTTAAAGAGTTTGTCCTGAGGTCATTACCCAGTCATGATTCATTTTACCCAGCAAGGAAAGTTAGGGGTACCCCTCTCATGAGTCAAAATATTTTTCTTGTGGATTTCTTTGTTTTGGACATTTTGTTTCTTGGTTTGTTAAAGTGTATTAATGTCAGGTGACAGAACCAATGGAAACTAAGTTGATGTCATCGCCACAAAGTAAGGTGAAATGCAGGGTCTTCGGCCCTTTAGGGAATATTTGATGGACATCATTAAAACTTTCATCTTCCTTGTCAATACATTACTAATGAAAGTCAAGTCCAATAAATGCTTTTATACCATAACTGACTCTTAATTCGGCGGCAGACTTAAACTCAGTTCTCATCACATTTCCTGATATCACCTGGAACATGTACTTGATGGAAACATATTTTATTTCTATAATGCATAGGGAATGTAGGGACACTGTCAGACTTAGCAGAGGCCTGGGATAATACAAATGGTTCAGCAAGGAAGTAATAAAAAAAAATAATCATGGCGAAGTCCAAGATCAACAGGAACTTAGGTCTTCCATAACACAGTTCTTGGTACCTCTGTCTAAAATGTTATGCTGAGAGTATTGTTGCTATAGGCCATGGGTGCTCCTGTTAATAATGGTGATGCTAATCAAAGCAGTAATTTGCATTTACTAAGCATTTGCTGTGGTCTAAAAGCTATTCAAAGATTTTGCAAACTGATGTGGTCAATCCTGGGAACAACTCTGAGTGATAATTATAATACATGCCCATATGAGGCACTGGTAAGCCTAGAATAGTCCATGGAAATTAAAAATTCAATTGTAGTCTGGGCATGAGGGCACACACCTTTAATCCCAACACTCAGGAGGCAGAGGCAGGCAGATATCTGTGAGTTCGGGGCCAGTCTGGTCTACAAAGTGAGTTCCAGGACAGCTAGGGTTGTTACACAGAGAAACCCTGTCTCAAAAAACAAACAAACAAAAAATCAAATATAAGTTAGCAAATTGCAACAGCTAACAGCAATGGTTGCTATTGTTTACCTGGCATGGTGGTAAAATGGTATGATTATTGTATTATGAAGCCTTTTCCTGTTAAATAAAGATAGCTTCTAAGGTTCATAGCATAAACAAATAATAAAAATAAATAAACGAGAGATAGACAGAAAAACAAGGAAAGACTGGGTGGTAAGAGGCAGATGACCAGCCAGAGCAGGAGGGAAACAGGAGAGGGTAAAGGAACATGAATATAATAAAAAATAAATTATACATACTTACAAAAATGCCACATGATAACTGTTATTACATATGATCAACATATGCTAATTAAAATATATAGTTTTACTGTGATAGAAAAAGGATGTATTAAAAGATTTCAACAAGCATAAAATAATTAGACGTTCAAAAGACTCCATCAAAGTATTGTAAGTACATTTGAGGCTGCGTCTCAGAAGCATTCAATGGTCTATAACTGGATATCTGTCTCACTAACACTTTCTATCACCACTGTGTGTTGGTTAGGTTCTTTTGTCTTACTGTTGCTTTGATGAAATGGCACCCTCAATGTTTCAGAGATGTCAGTCCATGCTCACTTGGCTCTGTGGTTTCTCAACTAGTGTGAGGCATGTACTGGAGACAAGTGGATCACCTGAGGAGTAGCATGAAGCATACAGAGGGAGAAAGGAATGGATTAGGGACAAGATACACCTTTCAGGGGCATACCCCTAATGCCCCATGACTCCCAGCTAGGCCCTACCTCCTAGTTTCTCCCATTTCCCAAATACGTCATCAAATCACAAACCTATCAATAGACGAGTCTGTGTGACATGATAATCCTTGTGCTTTGATCCCTTCCCCAAAGTGAACTGACGATCAAGCCTTCAACATAGACTTTGGGGAGCAGTTCATAATCATGTTGACATTGGACTCTATGTCGTGGTCTCTAAGGCATGTGCTCCCTAACACCAACAACCCTGCACTAGACACTTGAGTGAACTCTGTTTTGACACCATTCATAAAAATGGGGGCACAAACTATTTCCTTGCACCTATAACTTTTTGTGAAAATTAATGACTTGAAATGCAAAATTCCTTTATAAACCTTCACTATTTTCAATAATTCTAAGTGTGAACACAGAAGGTGGTGGAAATGTGAAATGCTTAAGGGTGGTGTAGCTTTTGACTTCCATGTCTAGCACTTAGTCATATGTTTACCCTTGATTAACGAGATATCCATTTGTCTTTTAACTGTGACAACCACTGGGTCCTGAGTTGTCACTAAAATATTTTGTATAATATTTTATTTATTGTGGTAGGTATTT